TTTAATTGGGTTTTGAAATTCAACAATTTTTTATAGCCTACATGGTGAATGCTACAGTCTTTTCGGATGACTTCTCTGTGGTGGTAGTAGTCGCAGTTTCTAAAAAACTTCATGCTTGATCAGAATAGTTGAAAAAAGCAGGGAACTTACTTTTCTCATCATCCTCATCTTCCTCAGATGAGTCTTCATCCTTAGACACTACGAATCCTCCGACAGCCTTTTCATTGTCACTTCTTGTCGTCTGTTCGGTGCTTGACAAGCTAGTTGTCTCCAAGGTGGTTGTGGATTCAGTAGTCGTGGACGTTATAGTGAATTTTTTTAGTTCAGGCGTTGTTATTGTAGGATTTTTTACATCTGTGGTGGTCTGCACTTCTGTGGTAGTTACGGTAGTAGGTACTGTAGTGGTTACGGTAGAAGATATTGTGGTGGTTACGGTAGAAGGTGCTTCGGTTGATTCTGTTTTGAATGGTAGACTTTCAGCACTGGTAGACGTTACAGGTAATGAAGTAGACATTTCAGTTACTTTAGGAGTGCTTAGTGAAGTTCTTCTCTCCACTTCTGTGGTTGCCAGTGGTGAAGGAGTCGAGGGGGTAAATTTAGTTTGGGTATGGGATTTCTCAGGAGCAGCCGCATCCATATTATTTTTCACAGTAACTGCTTCCACATCAACATCTCCCTCGATTCTGACAGGAACTTCATTCGTAGTAGTAGTACTAGATGGAGGAGCTGTGACAGATGTTCTCGTGCCGTTCGTGCTTGCTTCTTCTGAACTTGCAGAATCCACAACAAGTGTCACCACGACTGTAGGTGGCACTGTAGCTGATGTCGATGTTTTTGCTGTGGATGAAACAGAAGATGTATCAGCAGATGTGCTCGTCTGGTCTGATTCTGCTGCTGTTGCTGTTGGCGGTTCAACTGTAATCTTTTGGAGTGTAATAATTGTTGGCTCAGTTGTAGTAGAAGTCTTAGTTGAAGCAGATGCAGTAACATCTTCATGTTTCACCACTTCTGTCACGGTAGCACCATCGTTAGATTCAGAAACACCTAAGGTAGTCAATTCGTGCTCCGTACTTGTCACGGATGTGGTAGTCGTAGTAGTGGTAGACGAAGATGTTCCAATGGTTGTGGTTTCTGTAACATCAGCAGAAGAAGACGTTGATAGCTGAGAAGTTGTTGATTCAGTAGTAGCATCGTTCGAAACTATTACTATAGTGGCGGATAGTTCTTGTATCGTTTCGGCTGCGGTCGTGGAA